TAGTTAAATACAATGCACGCATTGTCATTATATTGTTATAATACTGATATATAATGCATATGTGTATATAAATATATATACATCTATAGTTTTTTTAACTCTATGTTGTCGTATCTCATAAGCTGAAGGTTCATAATGGTGAAACTTTGGGTAAGGATCAGATGGGAACTCTATATTGACAAGCAATTGTTCTATCTGAAGTTTAGCAATTGCTTTCTGTCGGTCATTAAATTTACGTAGTGTAGCAGCAACATGTTGACCAAAATATCCTTCGTCATCAGTTAGCTCTTTTGCTGTCCTTTTCTTCTAAATCTCTTTCAATTCAGTTATCATTAGTTCCTCCACTTCGTCTCTTTTTTGACCACTATTTTTCCTTTTAGTAGGTAATTTAATGGGTGTCGTCTTGTCCCTACTAACTGCACTCACACCTGATTCACTATTATTCAATGAAAGTTATCACAAACACTTTTATTTTATACTTATCATCAGTATCCGTAAAATTGTAATCTAAATTCTATAGTAAAAATCGTTTAAAATACCTTTCATATCTGTTTCACCATTATTTCTGAAAAAATTGGATTTTGGAAATCATTTTATCTTGTGGAAACATTGAGAAATAGGAATTGCAATCACAAATGATTGCAAAGGCAAAATCCTAAATCCTAAAATTTTGTAATTTTAGTAAAATAAGATTTACGGTTGTGACGTTTAAAAATCAAAATTCAAAATCCAAAAAAATTAAATTACGTGGAAAAATCATTTTTTCAAATATGTAAAAACTAGATTGGTGGAAATATTCACAGACCAAGTGTGGTCCTTGTATATTTTCACCAATCCAAATTTCTCATTTTGAAGGAAAAAAATTGCATTTTGTCATGCAATTTTAATTTTTAGAAATTTGAATTTTGAACGTCACAACCGTAAATCCTATTTTACTGAAATCACCAAATTTTAGGACTTAGGATTTAGGATTTTGCCTTTTCATTGCAACTCCTATTACCTAGCATTTGTGATTGCGGCATTGCAATTGCAATTCCTATTTCTCAATGTTTCTACATGAGAAAATGATTTCCAAAGTCCAAATTTGAGAAATAAAGGTGAAACAGATCATGTTTAAAACGTATTCCAAACAAAGCTTACTTTAAAACTGTAGTTAGAAGGATAGATGGACATATCCTCAGCTTTGCTCTCATTTTCAGACCTATTTAGCACAGAAAGGGTTCAGTATTTGATCAATACAGAGGACTTTTAAGATCTTGATGATGCTGTATTGGAAGCAACATGTACCGGTAACTTTGTGTTAGTTATATCATGACATATGCCATTAGTAGAAAAATTGCTAAATCTACCGTATAGCCAGAAAATTTGGCAGCCTAAAACAT